ATTTTAGTGAGATTATATTTCATCCCATATCATCGCATCTCATTTCATTTAATTTTATCCCAGTCTTCGATCAACAATTGTAACTTTATTATTTTAAATTACTATTGTTGATCGAAGATCCCAGTTGATTAATGTCTCAAATTAATCATCTTCATTTCATTACATTCCATATTATCATTATTCATAAAAATAAGAACATAAATTAAAATAAGACATGACCTAAAGGTCTTAGTTACCAGGTCATAAAATCCCATAAAAAAACCTTGTAATGTGTATTATGTGCCTAATAAATAAAAAATAATCAAGAGCAGAATCTCGCTGAATCCACAAAATGTGTCTACGTACACATGCAAACAAACACACAGAGACACATAAATCTGTTCTATTGTGATGTAAAAGTATCCATAGATCTTTTTTATTACTTTTATTCAGAGCGCTCCTACCTATTCGAGATATAACGAAAGGAACTCGGGGTCATTATTCGTTGTTAATAGGTATTGTGTAAAACTGACAGAGCGAGGAGCGAATTCTCTATGGGGAAGGAACGAGAACCCAAATCAATAATACTGAACAAGTTTTAGTTTTGTGAGAGATATTGAATGGGGTCTTGCGAACAAGCACGATCTGTGGTGTTTTTAACCTTTTACTTACTTTCATTCTTTATTGTACATATAGTTAATACAATACTATAATTGTGTAACGTTATAAAATGGCGAGCTTAACTCAACAACTGAGTTATCTACCAGCTAACCGTTCTTAAAGAGCGAGAGCTTTACATAAGTGGGTAGAAAAGTACAATCTAATCAATTTACTTATTGATACAATACACAATAACAATAATAAAAAAAACACTAATACATAATATATCAGACTATATAAGGTAAAAGCACTAATGCTAGACACTTTAAGGACAAATCAAACTTCATTCTCAATTATGAAATGTATTTATCAAAAATTATATTAAATCTTTTTTTTTACTGTTAGAGCTACATTTAGAGATCAATTTTTTCATATAAAATATTTCAATACTGTTGTAGTTTCTACAAAAAATTACAAACTTGTTAGTTCTGCCATAGACACTAAAAGATGACAGCATCGAAAATCAAATCCACCAAAAATTGACATCAGTTGGCACTAATAATAGACNCTTAAGGAATACGCTAAGAATTACGCGCAAAACGTCAACCTGCTCACATTGTTTGTTGTCAACTGATGCCAATTTGAAATTTGCTTCTAACACTGTACGCAAGCTTTTGAGAATGTATCATACATGGTACTAGGTGTCTTTAACATCAATAGCAATGTTATTTAAGTGTTTAGTTTCCTTATTAGAATTTTTTTTTTTTTTAAAGTGTCATCTTTTAGTTCAATGTCCAGCATTAGTGCTTTTACCTTACATACACAATTACACATATATTTTTTATTATTTTTTTATTGCTTAGATGGGTGGACGAGCTTACAGCCCACCTGGTGTTAAGTGGTTACTGGAGCCCATAGACATCCACAACGTGAATGCGCCACCCACCTTGAGATATAAGTTCTAAGGTCTCAAGTAAGTTACAACGGCTTCCCCACCCTTCAAACCGAAACGCATTACTGCTTCACGGCAGAAATAGGCAGGGTGGTGGTACCCACCCGCGCGGACTCACAAGAGGTCCTACCACCAGTGAAAAGAGCTATATAGTCACATTTTCGACAATCTCACCGAATGTAGGCGAACACCTTTTTAATGTACAAAAACCACCATTTTCCACCTCTTCCCAATATAGAGAAGTGGAGTGGACTCTACTTATAATAATATAATACTTAATAACATAAACATATACATACACTTACTTATAAGGGGTTTTCCTATAAGTACTCGACAGTTTTGAATTTAGTCAACCTTTAGTATTTAGTAACCTTAAACATTTTAAAAAGTCTAAACGAGGCCGTTTCTTTCGAGAAGTAGGTTCCTTTTGAAAGCAAGTCTAGGGTCAGGAAGGGCCCTTTTTGGTCGGCTCTAAACGCGTTCCATTTAACGGTGTGCCAGATTTGAAAGCGTATTCAGTATTCATGTTCTCTGCATTCTCAGTATTAATAATAATAATAATAATAATAACTAACACTGAGTACTTGCACAGACATAACCAAGCAGCCAGAATCCTCCAGCTCGCCCTTAAGTATGGCCTCATCGAACAGAGGCTACCGTATTATAAGTACCAGCCGGACGCTGTACTCGAAAACGACCGTGCCAAGCTCTACTGGGACCGGCCCATCATTACGGACAGGACTATTCTTGCGAATAAGCCTGATATCGTGCTGATGGACCAGACGGAGTCTCGGGTATTTCTGGTGGATATCACCATCCCCTACGACGAGAACCTCGTGCGGGCCGAGGCAGATAAAAAGACCAAATATTTGGACCTGGCGCACGAGGTGACCGACATGTGGAGGGTGGTATCTACAGAAATAATCCCGGTAGTTGTGTCGGTGAATGGTTTGGTCCCTAAAAGCCTCTCAAAACATCTCGAGAGGCTTGGTCTCAACAAAAAGTCGGTGGTGGCCCAAATGCAAAAAGCAGTCTTGCTCGACAATGCCCGTATAGTTCGCCGGTTTCTCTCCCAATAGTCCCTAACGCTCCGGCCGATTGTTGCCCACCTCGCCGGAGTGTGTCCTGCCGTCTTCCCAGGCGTGGCAGTGTTTAATACACATAATAATAATAATAATAATAATTCATTTATTTGTATAGAATGCAGGTACAGGTATGGTCTTAGTATAAAATATATTCAATCCCACCCACTACATTCTGCCTGTTGGCATACAAATTTTGCAGGAGAAAGTTACAGCTAATTTAAACTAGGTATTAAGATAAATTTAAGAACGAGATCACAAAAAGTTTATTATAAAAATCGAGATCTTAATAAGGAGAGTGTTACAATTCGTTATTTAGAAAATCAGTAACAGAGTAATAACACTTCTTTAATAACAGCGAAGACTGTATTGTGATTTTTATGTATAATTTTATCTTTCACGGAGGATTTACGTGACGGTAATTTATAAGTAATTACGACTGGTTACGCGTGCTGCATGTAATCAAATATACTACTACTATTTTACTGGTGGTAGGGCCTCTTATGAGTCCGCAAGGGTAGGTACCACCACCCTGCCTATTTCTGCCGTGAATGTGTTTCGGTTTGAAGGGTGGGACAGCCGTTGTAACTATACTGAGACCTTAGAACTCATATCTCAAAAAGTTGCTTACAATAAATACCCTGTTATAGTTCTTTATGGATTCTGATATTTTCTGTAATACATGTTTAGAAGAAACAACAAAACAATAATAATACAAAAGTTTTGGGTGTCCTTATCAAAGGAAATTTTACACTTTGCCATGATAACCTGCTAGCTACGAAGGCGACGAGCTCTCGTTTTCAACACGTGCTTCCTATTCACAATAGCGAACTGTATGTAGGTATATCTATGCTAATATTATAAAGCTGAAGTTTGTTTGTTTGAACGCGCTAATCTCAGGAACTACTGGTCCGATTAGAAAAATTCTTTCAGTGTTAGATAGCCCATTAATCGAGGAAAGCTATAGGCTATATAACATCACGCTAAGATCAATGCAAGCGGAGCACCAATAACGAATGATTCAAAATCGGGATATTAATCCCTTTTGAGAGCTTCCACTGCGTGCGCTGCGGAAACAGTTAAAGTTTCGCTAAAGTAATGTATGAGAGAATTGTTACCCTTTAAAAGATCTAAAAAACAGTCCATTACAGCATATGTCTATATATTAATGTTGGCTCACTATAAGGTTTTTGATGTTAAAAAAATTTGTTCTAAAAAAAGCATTTTTTGTTAAGGTATTTTCATAAAGATGATATCAATCCCTATCCAAATAAGTACGTTATTCATTACAACATTGAAACACCCAAATCACTTCAAGATAGGCTTTGACAATTATTTTTTTCTGGATTTCTCCAAGATCCCATCATCAGATCTTGATGTAAACAGGACCATTCGGGAAGTCTACGCTTTCGAACAAAAAAAAAAGAATTATCAGAATCGGTTCAAGCATTCTCGAGAAATCGGTCAACATACATAGATAAAAAACTATGGTCAAATTGACAACTTCCTCTTTTGAAGTCGGTTAAAAACGTAATTTTAGTACGTACCTTAAATAACTCCTTAACATTCTATTATTCAAAAATATTTTAACTTTGTACGTAAATGAAGAGGCGGGTAAAATTTAGCGTTATGCCAAAGTAACAATTTCACGCGGACGAAGTCGCGGGCAAAAGCTAGTATCTATAATATAGGTAATAGTGTAGTGTAGTCGGAAGGGTCAGGCCCTCGCCCCCCGGCCCCCGACCCCCATCCCCGGGCCGTATCGATCGCGCCACGTTGCCGCCTCAACACTTTCGCCGCGACGTTGCCAGCTCGTCGCTGTTATTTAGACACATCATTGAAGTCGGTTATTATTACTTGTTGCTATTTCTTGGAAATGCATGTGTTTCTGTTATAACTTCTGTTACAGTTCTCGACCCGCTTGTTTCGTAGTGATTCATTTTGTACTCATTCGGAAGACGAATATAAGTAATGTAATGTAGGTAATGTACTGTCATCTTTGAAAGAGATTTGTAAACAATATCGTAAGTACGGTTTAAAAACCGTTATCTCTAACCTATTTTTAAATGCGTAGATCTACAAAATACCAATTTTGGTTAAACATTAGTTTAGAACAACTACGTTTTCTGTGTATTTACTTTTTTTTTGTTATTGCCCTTGTAGGCAGACGAGCGTACGGCCTACCTGATGGTAAGTGGTTACCATCGCCCATGGACTCCAGCAATGCCAGGGGCAGAGCCAAGCCGCTGCCTACCGCTTAAACGAAAACGAAAATTATCAAATAGGACCTAACTTGAAATTTTCATTTTTAACAACATAGGTAAATGATATTAATAGTGGATTTTATTTAACCACGTCGAGACCGATTAATGAAGTATATCTACCAGGGTTTTCATGTAATGACAAGAAATTATGTTCATAAAAAAAAATATATATTATATTATTTATTTACCACAAATTGGAATGGAATAGAACTAATCTAATATCACTATAAGTCTTCAGTTGGATCGGATTTAATTTTTATCTTCCTATATCTTATCATTTTGATTAATCTAAGTACTTCACCACGGAATTCTAGTTTCTGGTCAATATCGAACACTCTCACTGCCGGCAGAACGGATTCGAAGAAGGATCTGTCGTCGTCCTCGCCTGTACTGCTGCAGGTTGGTTCCGCGAGAGGCTCGACGTACTCAATCTCCGGAATGATTTTCCGACGTTTCCTAACACTTCTGACTGGAGCTCTGAGAGGAATCTCCTCGCCATCACTCTGCCAGTCCACGCTTCGTTCCGTGATTCCATCGCAGTTTTTGATATTGAAGCTCTTTCTGAATGAGACGTTGCTCAGTTTGGCCGAGTCGTCGTCGCTCTGCCAATTGTCGTCTTGCTCAGCGTCGCTGCCAGATTGGCTGGTGCTCTTGTATATGTTGTTCAGGAAGGACAGATGTTTCGCATACATGTAACCGTAACCTTTCCTGAGACTGCGTACGTACGAATCTCGTATGTTGCGCCATTTCCCGTTAAGCTTTTTATCTGTAACGATATAACAACATAGAGAAATATGTACTGTTAATTGATTTTTTTATTGATTTTTATTGCTTACTAGCAAACCCGGCAGACTTCGTAGTGCCTCAATCGATAAGTAAAAGACCTTAGTATAAAATAAACACAAAAGGAATACCGTCCGATGACACATCAAAGGAAAACAAAATTGTTATTTTTTTTTACCTTTTAAACCTTCCCTGGACTTCCACGAATAATTCAAGATCAAAATTAGCCAAATCGGTCCAGCCGTTCTCGAGTTTTAGCGAGACTAACGAACAGCAATTCATTTTTATATATATAGATCTGGGTGGATGAGGTCACGGCTAACCTGGTGTTAAGCGGTTACCGGAGCCCACAGACATCTACAACGTAAATGCCGCCACACACCTTGAGATATGAGTTCTAATGTCTCAGTATTTAAAGTGCATTTTGATAGATATAGGTAATATGATGTTGCTTAACTCGAAATCGTTTTGTTGACGTTTTCAATCGCTGCTCGTATTTTTTATTCGTNTGGGTGGATGAGGTCACGGCTAACCTGGTGTTAAGCGGTTACCGGAGCCCACAGACATCTACAACGTAAATGCCGCCACACACCTTGAGATATGAGTTCTAATGTCTCAGTATTTAAAGTGCATTTTGATAGATATAGGTAATATGATGTTGCTTAACTCGAAATCGTTTTGTTGACGTTTTCAATCGCTGCTCGTATTTTTTATTCGTAATTCACCAAAAAACGTAATCGTAAAACTTACAACCGCTTACATAAAATAACGATCGAATATTTAATAGTTTTTCCAATTTGTCTATCAATAAAAATCAATTGTCACCACGTGTATGTAGGTAGGTATGACTCTGAGAATCACTCTTAAAACGGCTCCATCGATGCCATTGATTTATTTATAGTTTTTATTCGTAAACTTGTCAGGACACGGTATGTATGCAAGAAATATTTGTTTTGTGAAAATCCACAATGTCAAATTTTTACGATGTGTGAAATAAGGCACCACCTGAGATTTCCGTTTTCAGTATTAATAAAAAGAACCATCAGTAAATTTATTTAATTGTTTAATGGAATTTGATTTAAATGCTGATAGTAAATATATCATCGCACGGTTCGTTATTAGAGCAGTTTATTTTCTACTACGTGGAACTACTGCGTTCTTCCACAGTGCGTTTTCAAACAAGATTAATATTGTTTTGTCAAATTCGCCTGAGATTCCACTCAATCTCACTTCGCCGACGTTTCCGGAAGTAATTCGCCTCGCTAATGTCCCTGAGCAACGGTGAGCACTCACGATCGGATCGTGTAATCATTACGTTTTAGGGCCTCCGAAAAAAAAATCTTAATGATCTATGGCTATGTCCGAAAAATGGCTTAAGATTCCACGAACGTTCAAATTGAAATTACGTAATAAAGATAGGACTGATATTTTACTGCTATTCTTGTCTAATAAAATCACACTTTTAAAATATAATGTTGTTACTCCAATTATTCCAATCCAAACTATTTATACTTACTTAAGTTTAATGGCCACGGAAAGACAGGACTGTATTTTAAACACATTCGACTTGTAAACCGAAAATCTTTGTATTTGTGATTTTTTCCTGTTGTTTAATGTGTTCATGTAGAATAAAAAACAATACTACTCGTTTTTTTCATCACAAAAATTGGTGATATTTTTGAACCACTGCCTTTTGTATACAGCCAATATCATGATTTCTGTTTAAGACATTATTAGCCTTATTTTAAAACGTTAAAGTTACTTTAAAAAAACATGTGATATTTCAAAGTTCATCATTTCACTTGTCGATATTTCGACATTATCCTGTTTAGCAAACTATAGATTCTTCATCTTCACGAGTTTTACGGTGAACTTTAATAAAATACAACGTTCCGAGCTTACATGCTACTTACATACATCCAACTTTTCTCCCTGGGTCATATCGGCGAAGTCGTTGATGAATATCCGGGATACCTCTGCCCATGCGTTCTGTTTGCGATGTTTATATTTAAAATCTTCATTGTTTAGGTCCCAGATTTGCGGGTGCTTACTGACTTCGCTAATGAAGGCCTCTATGTCTAAACAATACGAAGTCATTTGGCACTATGAACAATGTTAGCATGCGATACTGACGCGTGACACACAAGACAAGCGACGGTCGCGGACTGACGCAGCGTGGTCGGCGCGAACTCGCAGCGGCAGCGAGAGTCCGCTAGCGGTCTGGCAACGTCGCATCGAGCCGGTGCGGCCTCGCAGCGACACCGGCTGTTCTGTGACGGTCTGGCAACGCCGCGCTGTGTTCGCCGCTTATCAATNTGAACAATGTTAGCATGCGATACTGACGCGTGACACACAAGACAAGCGACGGTCGCGGACTGACGCAGCGTGGTCGGCGCGAACTCGCAGCGGCAGCGAGAGTCCGCTAGCGGTCTGGCAACGTCGCATCGAGCCGGTGCGGCCTCGCAGCGACACCGGCTGTTCTGTGACGGTCTGGCAACGCCGCGCTGTGTTCGCCTCTTATCAATAATCACTTGTATTTTGTTTATAAATTCCGTCTGCCGAGAAATGAATTAACCTTTCAAACGACTTATATCACTGTTTACCGACTCATATTATTGTCGCTGTTTTACTCAAACGACATTCATTGAATGAGGCACGTGGTGTGATTAATCTGGTTTAAGACTACACTATACTATATTGCCATATAGTATAGCAGCCTATACTTAACCAATAATATATAGTACAGTACACAGTGTGAACGTGTCCATAACAATGTATGGTGTGCGATATTGTTGTGCTATGAGCTATATGCTATTATATTATAGCGTAGTCGGAAAGCGGCTGTATGCTCGCTGGTTCTTGCAGTGCGTTAACTGCGTAGCCACTGCGACATGATCGCTGCTAGATTGCTCTTATGCTTAAAACTACAGTAATTAATAAGAATGAATAGAGTACAGAAGTGTACGTATTGAGTTTCTCGCCGGATCTTCTGTGGGTCGCGATTCCGATCCGGTGGTTGATTCTGCGAAGCACTGCTCTTGCTAGGACTAGTGTTAGCAAATTTGCCAGGCTGAGCTCGGTAAGCTCGCGTAGGCGAAGCTAGTATAACCACTCGAAGTTATCAGATCAAAAGTGTGGATAGTCTACAGAAAGAAAACGCTTTAAGAAGCTTGCAAATGAAAAAGAATGTATTAACAGGGTACTTACCAATAACAAGCAAAAGTGGGTTGTTAAAATTCCGTTTAAACCTTTAAGAAACGATCAGAAATAGAAATAACATCAATTAAATGTTAACGAATGATTGAAATCGGAATCATTATCGATTTTATAACATGATAAACTTAAACGTTCTAAGGGTACGATCACCGGTCACCTTGACTCCAATCGTTGGTTTGATCTTAAGCGACAGACCGCATTCTCGGCGGATTGGTTTTGTACAAGTCGTGACTAGTGATTTTCTGACAACACGACCACTGCTGTCTAGAGCTAAGACTAAATGTCACTTGTATTTTCTATCGAATCCATACTGCATACTATACAGTTTTTTCGATCATTCACTATTTGACTGCACAGGTTTTTTTAATTACTTTTTAAATACTGGTTTTAGGACTTTCTGTGAGTCCGCACGTGTAAGTATCACCACCCTGCCTATTTCTGCCGTGAAGCAGCAATGTGTTTCGGTTTGAAGAGTGGGGCAGCCGTTGTACTATACTGAGACGTCAGAACTCGTATCTCAAGGTGGGTGGTGCATTTACATTGTAGATGTCGATGGGCTCCCGTATCCACTAAACACCAGGTGGGCCGGGAGTTCGTCCATGCATCAAAGAAAAAAATAATGTCATCTAGAAGTTGGACTTCATAACAACGCAGCAACGTTCACTGGACGTTGGCTTTTTTTTTTCCTACCTAAGCTGGTAGCCTTGAGAGGCTATTCCAGCGTAACCTTAACTAGTAGGTGAGCTCACGGGGCTCAAACCTGACGACGATGCTAACACGAACCCTAGCAAGAGCCGTGCTTCGCAGAATCTACCACCGGATCGGAAACGCGACCTACTGAGAAGATCCGGCGAGAAACTCAGTGGGCTGTGTCTGAGGGAATAGACGTTGGCATTTACGTCAGTCGAGTACTATTTACTCGATTACTATTTAATCGATTATGTCGTTAACTTGTTTGTTGGTTATCACTTGGACACATGTGACGACTACACTTCTTGTACGCTCACTGGTATAAACCGGATCCTCCCGATCCACTAACGGTGCTTCTAGGTACTTCAAGCACCGGTCACCGTTCTTAGTAGTAATAGTGTAAATTAACTCTCAGACACAGCCCACTGAGTTTCTCGCCGGATCTTCTCAGTGGGTCGCGTTTCCGATCCGGTGGTAGATTCTGCGAAGCACGGCTCTTGCTAGGGTTCGTGTTAGCAACGCCATCAGGTTTGAGCCCCGTGAGCTCACCTACAAAAGTTAGGGTTACGCTGAAATAGCCTCTCAAGGCTCTCAGCATAGGTAGGAAAAAAAAAAAAAAAGAACTTATCAGTAAGAAAAAACATATAGCTGTTACGCACGTTGGCTTATTCCGAGTATTTCGGAACAGATGTTCAATCGTCTTGATGGAAGTTTCGATCTCTGGCGTTACGGATGTCTTTAGAACCTTACGTGACCTGAAGGACACGATATTCAGTCGCTCGTGTCGAACGATAGGACTCGTTTTCTTTCACGTCGGAGCGTAGGGTATCGATTTTAACAACGAATTCCACTATCAAGGTATGACATTTCTTCAAGTGGATTTTTTATTGCTTAGATGTGTGGACGAGCTCATAGCCCACCTGGCGTTAAGTGGTTACTGGAGCCCATAAACATCTACAACGTAAATGCGCTACCCACCTTGAGATATAAGTTCTAAGGTCTCAGTATAGTTACAACGGCTGCCCCACCCTTCAAACCGAAACGCATTACTGTTTCACGGCAGCAATAGGCATTTTCCTCTACAATTCTACTTCCTATAGCTATCTACTGTTGAACATAGTGCTTTCCAATCAATATCCAGTGCGGACGGTCCGTTGCCACATCCAACGTGACCCACCGATTTTAACTAGGACTTCGGTGCATCTGGTAGGTGGCCGACCCACATTGACCTCGCCAGTATGTGGACTCCACTAAGCAATCTTTCACAATTACCCTTGATAAAATTAAACATCTTGGTCCGTTATTGATGTATAGATGATTAATTGGGCAAAGTCATGCGTTCTGTGATGAAGAGCAGCCGTTATAACTGAAATACAAATAAAACTTTGATCTCTGGTCTCAAGGAATGTAATAGCATTTCTGACATAATGAATATAAAATCCGCACGGTGGCCGGCAAGAAATGGATGAGGAGAGCCGCAGACCGGGCTCAGTGGTGTAGATTAGGAGAGGCCTATGTGCAGCAGTGGACGACTATGGGCTGTTGATGATGATGATGATGATGATGATGATGATGAATATAAAAAGGAGCTCTTGCTGGTAACTTAAGCCTACGGATCCTGCACCTTTTTTATTAACTTCAGGCTTCACAAGCGCTTCAAAAGATACGTGTGAACTTGTTAGCGTTTAGAGTCTTCGTATTTGATGCGGTGGGCAATATTCTAACGTGAAACGTGAAGGCGGACTAAAAAGACAATGTACGATAGTCAGGGTAATTGGTGGGGGACACTTTATTTTCAAACCAGCAGTTTGTATAGGATTTTAGCGAAATCTAATATATAAAATTCTCGTGTCACAATGTTCGTTCCCATACTCCTCCGAAACCGCTTGACCGATTCTCATGAAATTTTTTATGCATATTCAGTAAGCCTGAGAATCGACTACTATCTATTTTTTATACCCCTAAGTGATTAGGGTTGTCCACCCCTAACATATTTTTTTTTATTTGGACATTTTTTTGTTGTTGTTATAATGAGTTATTATGTGGTTGAATGAGGTTTTGTTATTTTTATTATATATTCCCTCATCGTTCACAGCGCTACATGCCTCTTTCACTCATTTACCACATACTTACAAACTTACAATAAGTTAGTTTTTTTTTCTACACTAGAAATTCCCCAGAAATCTTATATATGGCAAAACAATGTTTGCCGGTCAGCTAGTATTCTCTAAAATTATGGCACAACTTTACGAATTTATACTTCAAGAATTATTCCAACAAACTTCTAGAATTACCGTCTTCCTTAATGGAGCTCCAGTTCGGCTTTTAGGAAGGATTTTCATCGAGAAAGTTCCGTTTCGCGTTCAGTTTACGAATGATATATTTCACGGAAGTGCCACCATTACTTACTACTATTAGTGCTATTACCTAAGAGTAGACAAAAAACCTTTTAGTTTACGCTAGCAGTCATCATTTAAACATTCCTTATTGCCAATGCCAGTAGTGCCGACAAGGCTTACTGAGTTTTCTGATTTTTATTTTTTATTGCTTAGATGGCTGGACAAGCTTACAGCCCACCTGGTGTTAAGTGGTTACTGGAGCCCATAGACATCTACAACGTAAATGCGCCACCCACCTTGAGATATAAGTTCTAAGGTCTCAGTATAGTTACAACGGCTGCCCCACCCTTCGGACTCGCAACAGGTTTTACCACCAGTAAAAACCAGTTTCTCTGTTAGTAACGATTACTATCTGAAGGTAAAAGCTGCGAAGCTCTGCTAAGACAGACGTAACAAAACTCTTTCAAGCTTAGCCCTGTGAGCTCGCCCTTAAATCGACTTCCAGGTAAGTAATAATACCCGTCAAGACGTTTTCTAGCTTTCTATCAACTATAAACTATAATTGGGACACGGCTTATGTACAGCGTTAACGATAGTATATTAATAAATATCATACAGACCAGTGAATGGTTGCTGACATAGCCCGTCGAATTAGTGAACTGAAGTGGCAATGGGCCGGCCACATAGCACGAAGAGAGGACGGTCGATGGGGCAGAAAGATCCTGGAGTGGCGACCACGTACTGGCAAGCGCAGTGTGGGACGGCCACCTACTAGATGGACCGACGACCTAGTAAAAAGCGCTGGGTCTCGTTGGATGCAGGTGGCAATGGACCGGTCGCACAGGAAATCTATTGGAGAGGCCTATGTTCAGCAGTGGACGGCGATAGGCTGAAATGATGATACAGACCAGTGTGCTTAGTGCGAGGTTTTTAACGTTCTCGATAGCGTAAAAGTTAACTCAAATTTGTATGGAGTTAGAAAAGCGCCCCTAGCGATAAACGTAGACAAACGTTGCAACTCCATACAAATTTGAGTTAACTTCTACGCTATTGTGAACGTTAAAAAAAGTCGCACTAAGCTTTTTTTTTTATTGCCCTTGTAGGCAGACGAGCATACGGCCCACCTGAGTGGTTACCTTCGCCCATGGACTTCAGCAATGCCAGGCCAAGCCGCTGCCTATCGCACACTGGTCGATTACGCCGTAGCACCGATAAAAATAAAGTTTAGAATCTCACCAGTGGGTCTATAGCGGGCTGGCTATCCAACCGTCATAGACATAGGCATTCTCTGAGTCTATGCCCTATTACGTAATGGGACAATAAATAAGGTGAACTTATACGCTGCTAAAATAATAATCATAACTTTATTGAAAACAGGAAAACATACACTTACTTAGTCATCAAATATGTACAACTATATGGTTTATTGTTTATGAACGTTCGTCAATATTATTAACATAAAACTGCAGAGCGAATTCACTTAAAAACATTTAAAACTACATCGTAATAATCTTTTATGTAATAATAGGAATATTATATTATATATATAGAATAGAATATATTTAACGGCCGCCTGATGTAGTGGCAATTGACATGGTCACTACACAAGGGGGTCGCGGGTTCGAATCCCGCCAAGGGAAGATATTTGTATGATAAATATAAAATGTCTTTTCCAGGGTTATGGATGTATATTAAATATATTATGTATGTGTATAATAAAAATCTTACATTTATTTCCGTTATCTGGTACCTGTAACACAAGTTCTTTATGAACTTACCACGGGACCAGTTAACGTGGCGTGACTGTTAGTAAGTATTTATTTATGTATTATTTATTTATTATTATTTATATTGAACTCCAATAAATATTAATAACGGTTTTAACTTTAATCCTTTATGTTATTTAGTTAAAGCCGGCTACGCATACCTGCTAATGTAATTTTCGAAATAAATCGTAACTTTGCTTAGATGTGTGGACGAGCTCGCAGCCCACCTGGTGTTAAGTGGTTACTCGAGCGTACATCGTATCTACAACGTAAATGCGCCACCCATCTCGAGATATAAGTTTTAAGGTCTCAGTATAGTTCCAACGGCTGCCCCGCCCTTCAAACCGAAACGCATTGCTTCACGGGAGAAATAGGCGGGGTGGTGGTACCTACTCGTGCGGACTCACAAGAGGTCCTACCACCAGTAAAGTAGTCCAAGCGAAACAAATTGGGAATGCTATGCGTTTATAGAGCTATATAGTCACATTTTCTTAGCCAGGCAACGGCTTGGCTCTGCTTCTGGCATTGCTGAAGTCCATGGGCGACGGTAACCACTTACCATCAGGTGGGCCGTACGCTCGTCTGCCTACAAAGGCAATAAAAAAATAAAAAAAAATAAAAAAAAAATTCGACAAACTCACCGAATGTAGGCGAACACCTTTTTAATGTACAAAAACCGCCATTTTCCACCTCTTCCCAATATAGAGAAGTGGAGTGGACTTATATCAACGTTTACGCTAGAATTAAGGAAACTATTAGATAATAATTCTCAAAGCCCCGCAAACACGCTGTAGTTATCGACGAGGTCAGTGACCTATTTCTTTTTTAACTATATAAATTTGTTCAAATTCAGTGACCTAAATTTCTTTACATTTACTTCCTTAAACAATATAAAAATATTTTCGTTCCTACTAAAACCAAATCTTTAATTATTGTACAGTAATCGGAGAATCGTCACGCCCTGTATAAATGTCCAATTACCGAATCGTTATAGGAATGAAGCCAAAACAATCTAGATTTCTCAAAAACCTAGCAGCAGGCAGGGGTTTGGCTATGTCTTTGCCATTGCAGACGTAACGACAATGATATTAAAAATAATCCTATTCAGTACTGTCTTTCCGAGGTCTCTTAATGTCACTTCGCTCCATACCAAACGATTTTGTGCTGTTATAATGATTCGTAACCGCCTCCTGCATCGTATTGGCGATCTGCGATCGAACCCACATCTTTAAATGGACCGGCAACTGCCTCATCTCGGGCAAGAATGACAGGAGGAACAGCTTGTCACTGTCAGTGTCAGTCGTGCTGTCAATGTCGACCGGGAACACGGGCATCTCGACTTCCTGGGTTGGATAGGTATCGCAACTGGGCTGTCGCTTGCGTTTTTTCCTTCTGACTTTCTTTGGTGGCTCTATCGGCTCTGGGGTCTGTGCCTCTGGGTTGCTGCCGCTGTTGTCTTGGGTTCCGTCCTCGTCTTTTGAATCGCTACTGCAAAATATCAGTAAATCTTTTAAATTAAGATTAAATCACTAAATTGTGACTTATTATTTTGAAATGTAAAAATATTCTTTTCTTGTCGTAACTAGGTGAGCTCACGGGGCTCAAACCGGAGTGTTGCTAACACTGGCCCTAACAAGAGCCGTGCTTCGTAGAATCTACCACCGGATCGGAAACGCGACCTACTGAGAAGATCCGACGAGAAACTCGGTGGGCTGCGTCTGTGGGTTAATTCGTAACTATCAAAATAATGAGTTCACGCCTCTACTGGTGTTAGGTGGTTATAGGAGCCCGTAGACACCAACAGCGGAAACGCCGCCACCCACCTTGAGACCCGAGTCTCAGCTTTATCCTTATACAACAGCTGCCTGTTGTTAAGAACGGGATACCCGTGGTCCATAGTCATGGAGACTTCAACAGCGGACGGCGATATAAAACTAATGCTATCAAACTCGTTGAGAATATCTATATATTCATACGTGAAGCAAAAACTTTGTACCTCTTTTTACGAAAATTGCGCAGACGGAGGAGTACGAAATTTTCCACACTAGACAAAGAATATAGAGAAGAAGTGCACAATGCTAATATTTTTTTAAATTATGCTTTAATAATACATTAAATCAATAAAAAAATCGTTACACACACACGCATATGAATACTCTATGTTTATTATCAAACTTTTGTTGCTCTGTAAGTCTGTGATCAAATTGAGAATAGGTTAATATTGTTTATTTGTCTATAGTGTAGTCTTGGCGAAATCTGTGATTATAGAAGTATAATAGTCTCTGACAATAGAACCATAATAACGTTCAAGCTTATAATTTTAATTAATTATAGTCGAATTTCGACTACTGCGGGACCACTAGTCATTCTAAAAACCCTTCAACGGCCCTAAAGCACTCTCTCTCTGTAAAGACTTAGAATGCGTAAACTATATTCTATCAAGGAACATACTCTCCATCGCTGATGGGCCCCTCATAGCCGCCCAGGAAGATCATTCTCTTGAAGTGCCTGTACGTTCTCTTGTGTATCCTAACGCCGGAGCGACGAGCCCTTAGCTCCCTGTTGTAAGCATCTCGTAGGGATCTCCACTTCCTCTGCAGTTGTAGTACTGGAAGTAGTAGAAATACACTATTAAATCCACTCTATATATTATTTCTTTCTACTCAGCGAAGTCTTTCGGCGCAGAATTGGGCAGCTTATTTACTAAGATAGATCGATCAGTTAATCTTAAGTGATGATATTGAAAAAGATGGTTTTGACTTAGCCAATCAATCGGGACGATTAATATATATGCTCTAAAAGACAAGTTCATACAAAGATATGTTATGAAGTTAAGTATTAAGTTAAGACTTAAGACAATTATCTTAAATATTTTTTTAAAAGAAAAAAATAATCAAGTTAGTGTTTATTATTAAATGCGACAAAAAGCTTTCTGTTTATTTTACAAACAATATTTTACTTTTTTTAATACTGAATTCTTCAGATGTTACAATTTTAGCAGAATGTTCCACATCTCACCCCTGTCGTACGCAGTTGCTTTATTAATAGTATCCCAGTCGGGGAACATCGACGACCCGACCTCTTTCCACAGAGCCAACTTCTCCTCGCGGTCGGCTGGACATTCCGAACTGTATAGACCCGGTCGCTTCTGTATCTCCTCTATCAGACATACCGGATTAAACTCCAACATTTTTACTATCTACTCGAAAAACATGAAACGTCAAAATGACCTTACAAAAAAAAAAAAAAAAACGACTACGGCATCAGAATTATACAGCCATTACTCAATAGCCGTCATTATAAGTGCTACAACAACAAAGGGGCTTAAAAAAAAATTGTTGAAGAGAACGCGAGTGATTTACGATTTGAATTTCTAGTCAGTGGTTGTTGCGACGAAAAAGCGCACCGACTCGCGACGGAGGTGCGACGCGACTGGCGCAACGTCGCGCGTCTGTGCGCACACTCGCGGCCGGGCAGGCACGCCGCGTTGCGACCGGCGACCGACGCGCCGCCCACTGCGACTTCTCCGCGCGCTCTGATAACATTCCGTTGATCCTTCAGTCAGTTCAATCGAAATTATATTGCAAATTGATTCTGGTACGTCAGAAACGTTTCTATAATTTTTTTTAACGTATTTTATGACCTGGTAACTAAGACCTTTAAGTCATGTCTTATTTTAATTTATATTCTTATTTAATGAAAAATTATAATATGGAGTGAAATGAAATGAAATGAGATGATATGGGATGAAATATAATCTCAGTAAAATGGTGGTCATTTACTGAAAAATTTTCAGTGGACTTTTTGGAGGATCCCGAGAAGCTACGTCCAGCGACTTTGTTTTATTTCCCACATTTGTGCACTTTCACAGATATTAAACAGTTAATAAACCACCGTTATTACGCATTTAAACCCAAAGAAACACTAAACAGACAAAATAAAACAAATCGCACAACTTCAGTCCTCGCGTGCCCGCCAAAAAGTCAAAACGTTTCTTTAGAAAACATATCGAGGGGTGAAAGGACATTTGGTTTAAGCGACATTTCGCTTAATATTTAACATTTAACTTTACAATTAAAGGTGTGTTTTATTAATATTGTATGATGAACAAGTTTGTTTGCTCATTGTCCGCGTTTTTATTATCTAAATTTGTATACAACGTGTTACAAAATACCCCGTAAATAATTTAATTAAGTAATTATCAAATTCAAAAATTTTTTCAATCTGGGTAAGCTATCATGTTAAGGAACCAGATTATTTAATAGAAATACCTGCGTATGTTGTATCTATTTTACTTAATAATTGTCAACTTTAATAGTTTTTCTATTTTGCATTCATAAATGTTTGTTACCTCAATACAAGGATGTAAGTACTGACGTCAAAAAATATCAAGTTGAAAAAAAAAATGTTGTCAATTTCAAATCTTCTGATCGATATGTTACAACTGTACCAAGTTTAAAAAAAAAAACATTCTATTTAAAAATATAAGTATGTTTGTTTATCAGTCACTGCTTCGATCGGTAAGCCATAACACAGGGAATCCTAAATTGTGGTCCGAAGCCCATGCGTGATTTATTCCCAATTTTTTATTATTGTATCTTCATAACTCTTTCGCGACGTTGTCAGATCGCATTCCGTATGGTTTTAGCTTTGTGTAACAACAGCACTACTTTTAAAAGGTCACGTTAATATAGGTAACATTTGGCGAAAACAAGTAATAATCTACCTACGCACAATCTTAAGTCCGTTTTGATCGTGAATACGTGAATTGAAGATCGATTTTGTGTTAGATTGTTTTGAAATTTTAAAGGTTAGGTACCTGAATTGATATAAACAATTCAAATTATCGCGAAACATAATTAATTATACTTCACGTAAAATATTTTTTAAACATCATTCACAAAGGAAATCCTTTATCTTCTTCGGCTTGGAATAATTTTCAAAATGATGATTCTATACATTAAGGTAACATTAACAAAAAATTCCGTAATAACATACTATCGCCAAAAGTCACTTTAAATATGGCAATACTTTATTCGCAGGTTTTCCAGCGTGACTATGTTTGCGTTAAGTATACGTTTTTAAATAATTGGGTATATTAAAAAAAATCTACACATAACTTTAGTGTTTTGTTTTTATTTTATTATGATGAGAAGTAGATGGATTATTAAATACTAAATTCAACCGTCATCATTCATATAAATAGTCAGACATTTTATTAAAGTGATGATTGATATATTGTAAATGTAAATGAAAATACAGTAGAAGCTTCTTAATCGCGCTTCCTTCATTCGCGTTTTTATTATTCGCTGATTTAATGCGACCCAATTCCCTATATTCGCAGCTAATGATTTCCTTATTCGCTGATCTTATGGGTGCAAACAAATTGATAAAAAGGATTCCGATATCTAGGTGTTCAACCTTTGTAAACGCGCTTCTCCATATTCACGGTTTCTGTCTTCGCGGCATATTTACGTAACATATACCGCGCGAATAAAGAAAGAGCTTTGATTACTTTAATAAACAAAATTAAAATTGACGACTGGCGCCCGTCCATTCAGCGGGTGTGTGCTGACGTCTGCTCACAATCAAACTGATATTTAGCTCGTGTTTAGTTTGGTTGCGTGATGTTTACTACTCTACGTTATACATAAAAGCGGCTTTCTATAAGATCAAAGACTAGAGGCAACTTGTACGCCGCCTCGTTCTGTAACTAATCTTGAAGACTGTAGACAAGAAACGTCAAAAGTTTTGACGTATTCTGTACGTTCACAAATCTAATTTGCATTACATTTGAATTATAACTAGAGGTCCCGCAGTAGTCGAAATTCGACTATAATTAATTGGAATTGTATTATAAGTTTGTACACTATTATGATTGTATTTTATACTTCTATAATCACAAATTTCGCCAAGGCTACGCTATAAAAAAATATGAATAAAGACAAACAATATTTAATCTATTCTCAATTTGACCACAGACGTCAAAAACAAAAAGTTTGACAGTAAATAGTATGCATGCGTGTGTGCGTAAAATACATGGTATGTAGTGTGTGGAATGTTTTCTTTATTGATTTAATGTATTTTTTATGCATTATTTAAAAAAAAAAATTAGCCTTGTGCACTTCTTCTCTATATTGTCTATAAGTGTGGAAAATTTCATACTCCTCCGTCTGCGCAATTTTCGTAAAAAGGGATACAAAGTTTTTGCTTCACGTATTAATTATATAGATTCTGTTTAGTTGTATAAAGATGATGTTTAGTATGTTTCTTTTTTTCCTATAGACTATTCTGGCTTCACCAGCCGTATAAGCGAACTGACGGGGCTCAGTTTGAGAGACTTTGCTAAGATCTGAATCCGCGACCGGTTTGGAATGGCCACTGAGAAGATCCGATGAGAAACTCCGTGGGCGTTGTGTGTAAAACATTTAACAATTCAGTAGGGTGCCATACTCAACGGTTATTTTCACTATAGTTGTGTGCTTGTGGTCTCCGTCTGTTGTGCGTAACATTCAAAACAGTCCGCAGCCAATAGTGTGCAGCTTTCGATCTTGCGAATATCAACCTCCGTCGAAAGTCCTGCGATACTTCTTGGGAAAGCCTGGTCAATCTACCAGCAGTACCATTCAGCGTTCAAGCCAACACAATTTGGGTTCAGTACTCTTATGGCATTAACCGTGCTACGCTAATACATATTATTATATGTTCACTCTAAGTAATGTTTCGAAACTTGGCAATACAGAATTTAATTAATAAAATTGATAGATCCATTTTTGTCTACTAGTCAATATATTGTTAAATATATTGTATTACGAGTATTCAATTATGGGCCTATAGCTCTGAAATAGTTCTGTTATTTTAATGTTATATAAGAAGTTTAGTTTCTGTTGAAAATCCTGACTTACATAATGAGAATTGTTTTTGATTATGTAGGTATACGTAATTTTTTTTTTTTTTTTTATGGATACACGCAGACCACAACCCACAATAGAATTAAAAAAAAAAGGTAGAACGTATAGAATGTGGGCAGGTAGGTACGTTACGGTTTTTCTTTTGAATGTTTTTGACTCGAGAAGAGAAGCGCGCGTGTATTATTTATTGATGTGGCTGTTCAGTGCGGCAACGCGTCGCCGCCGCGCGCGCCCCGGTACCGCTATGCGACGTTGCCAGAACGACCGACCCAGTTCCAGAGCGACACCTCACTTTTTTCACTCAACAAAATTGCCGATCTGTTTATGTGAGTTATTTATTAATTGTGATTTTCAGATATAATTCGATCGATTTACGTGCGTTCAGAGTACATTGAGAACTTGACAAGAGATTGATAGTTGTAAAGTTTACGCGAATATTGGATGAACCCGTCGATTGCGAAGGGTTCGTCATCTATGTATTAGGCTCGTCGAACATGCCTTTCATAACACTGTGCTTATCAATGATATCACATCCGTTATCATTGGCATCATAGTTACATGAACTTGTAAATGGCTCACGTGAATAAAATATGTAAATAAGATTAGTCTGATTTTTGTTGGTATTTCCTAAGTGCAATATTTACAGCGCAATTAATTGACAAATAAAGGGATTTTTTTTTTAATATCCAGAAATTTCCAATATCTGAGATATTTTTGCCACGTGCCATTCGACTCTGGCTTGAACTCCTTTTCTAGATGTTTCGACGAATGAATGTCTTCAAACGAGCTTTGCGGAGGGCATTTAAGCGATAGACAGCGTCTTGACTATGCCCCTGGCATTGTTGACCATGAGCAACAGTGACCGTTTACCGTAAGGAGAGCCGTACGCTCGTTCGTCTACCTACGAAATTAATTAATACTACATCTAATAAATTTCGATATTGAACCTCTGTCGAATTGGCAATTTTCCACTAAAAATGTCGTCTCAATAAAGTTATTAAGTAGGAAGTCCCACGGAGTGAAATAGCCATAACCTAACCGCATCTAAATCAATCCTTAGAGATGGTGGAACGTAGCTTAACAAATCAGAGGCATTAGAAGGACTAACTAGACTTTCCGGTGGGCAGCGGCTTGGCTCTGCCCCTGGCATTGCTGAAGTCCATGGGCGAAGGTAATCACTCACCATCAGGTGGGCCGTATGCTTGTCTGCCTACAAAGGCAATAAAAAATCTTCAAAGAAAATATACAATAAATTTCGAAATGATGGGAATGGCGTAGCTTTAACAGTCAACTTTTACTGGTGGTAGGACTTCTTGTGAGTCCGCGCGGTTAGGTACCACCACCTTGCCTATTTCTGCCGTGAAGCAGTAATGCGTTTCGGTTTGAAGGGCGGGGCAGCCGTTGTAACTATACTGAGATCTACTCTGATACCGAGGCTACTTTTTTTAGACTAGCTTCGCCCCACGGCGTCATCCGCAGTTACTGTCGTACGGCGCGCAACATGGCAGGACTCGTCTATCATTCAATAATAAAATTTAATGTTTCCGAAGCGCAGCGAGGGCGGGTCGCTAGTCATGTAATAAGAGATCTTATGATTTCAATTAATTTTCCATATATGCGTAAATAAAGTGGACTTGTTTTAACGGTAACTTTTTCCGCGCTTGCGCTGTTTGAGATAACTCGTCACGTGTGGAATGTCAATAAAACCGCGGTGACAGAGA